GAGTAGATTTGACCATGAGTATCAATACTTTTACTCAAGTACTAGAGTTGAGTACTTTGTCCACCACTGGTGAGAATCCTGTAAAACAGACCGCTTCTCAAATATGGTGCCTTCTACTTGCCTTGCCTCTTTTGCACCTTTACACCGAAGCAAATTCCTTGTCTGTGAATCCTGTTCATTGACAATGGCAATAAAACTGATTCTGATTCTGATCAAATATACTGGCAGCTTTACGAAATAAGTGCGTGTTGAATAACCTTAGAAAATGAGAATTTTGTTGACTTGATGAATTGAATTTGTTTTTAAAATGTATTTATTTGAGTTAAATATTGCAACTGTCCCAGCTTTGTTGTTGTAATTAATTGTAATAAAAGTGTGTCTATGATCCTCAAATATGTCTGTTTTTATTTAACCTAATCTGAAAACACATTTTATGCACATATTTGTGTCAAAAATAACACATTTTGACACACATTTGTGTTGATTGAACTTACACAATTGTTGTGGTAAAACAACACATTAGTTGTCATAAATGACACAACATGTGTTGTTCCTGAGCTGATCAGCACATATGTTAAAATTTGACACATCGTGTTGTTTTTGACACATCTGTTTTAAGAGTGCGTGGAGATTCAAAACACAGCCTCTACCACCCATTGCCTATGCAAAAACAACAATAATAATAATAATAATAATAATTGCTATTTAAGAAGCTTCCCACAAGGGGGTGCTAGCAGTAAGTTCAGAAGTGAGAAAGCATCCGAATAAAAACTGCTAGCTGGAGCTAGTGGAAGCACCATCTTTCTCAGTGTTGATAAAGAAACGTTACAATAACCATGACCAGAGTTGTAAAGTAACTAAGTACAAATACTTTGTTACTGTACTTAAGTAGAATTTTTGGGTATCTGTACTTGAGTAATTATTTTTCAGCCTTTTTACTTCTACTTAATTACATTTTCACACAATATCTGTACTCTGTACTCTTTACATTTAAAAAAAAAGCAAGAAGTAGAAGGTTGTTGTTTTTATTTCATTATGGCTTGTTGTTAAAAAGTATTATCCTGATAAACTGTACGTGCTGGATAGAATAAATTTAATTGTGGTTGGA